TGGGCCTAGAGGTTGTGGGTTCGAGCCCACCATGGACCCTACTCCAAATGCTCCCACAAATGTCTACTGTCGCTGTGTCCTTGGGTAACCCCACGTTGCCTGAAGCCCCCACTGAAAGACCACCGCTGACGGAGCAGCCATCTTCCTGTGGACCCACCACCTGCAGAGGATCAGCGAGGGACTAGTGCTATGAACATTTGGTGGCAGCTCTCATTGCCACCTCCCCGACCCAGAAATAGACTAGTAAAGGGGTTGAAAACGTATGAATGAATGACATCTAAAAACGAACTCGTCTTTGATTCTAGTCGGAAAAGTTCTCACATGCCTGTAGTCATTGAATCTTCCAAGTGTGAATTGTATAGGACTGCAAGTTTCTTTGTTTAACTCTAAGATTCTGCTTAAATATCATCTCTACACCTTTGAACCGTTGCTTGTTAGTTTTGTGGTTTCGCCAACATCATAGCCAAAGAAAGGATAGCTATAAACAACATACTCCAAATCTGCATAATAATCAGGTTATTTTTCATAATTTGACATGGAACACAGAAGGCACAATGTGAACCCCCACCAGACAAAATGTAATAATACTGAAAAGATTTGATCAAATGAAATCGAGAGATAGACGATGGCTTACCTTTATGTGTTTCACTCCGCAGCTGACGAGCTTGCTGGGCTGGTACAGATCCCACGATATGTCAAAAATCTAAGGAGAAAAATCAAGCATTATGTTAAAGCAGGGAACTTACTGTCATGGTTCTCATTTTTAGTTCCTGATTTATTTTGTATTATCTGTTCTCCTGTGTCTTTTTGGGTTATACTTCCTGTTCTGTTCATTTCCTGCCCCGCCCTGATATTTTTCACCTCTATCTCCTATTTAAATTCCCTGTGCTCTTCCCTGCTTGTTGTTAGTCTATTGTATGTTTGTTCCTTGGTTCTTCTTTGACCCCAGCTCCTTTTTACATTCAGTTAAGTTTTGTTTTTGGATTATTGTTCATGAAATTATTATTCTTGCAGTATTGTATTTTGGGTAACATCCTCCTTTTAAATATGTGATCCTTACATCTCTTTGTCAACAGCCATTTCAAGCAATATTAGGCTAATATTTAAGGTTAGCTTCACTACGCAGGCAGCTCTTTGTAGTATGTGACTGCCTAGCCATGGGAAAAGAGGGAACCCAAAGTCTACCCATGAGGCATTTTGGGTATTTCACAGTGATAATATTTGAAGAGTTGGGGCTCATTTGAAAGTGAAGTTGGTCACCTGAAATCACAAAACTGAGAAAACCAGCCTTAAATGTTTACCTTTTTGTGGTTAGCTCTTGTGTTTCACAGCAAGAAGGTCCTGGGTTTGATTCCACCTCCTGGCCTTTCTGAGTTTATATGTTCCTCTACCATTAAAAACATATAGGTCTGATTGTAATGAGTGAGTGAATGAATGGTGAGGAGCCAGTATGTTTTCTGTTTTCCTTCAGTCATCAGCGTGTGTGGAGAGACTGGGAAATACTGGTACTGGTGTGAAATGTCCTATGAATAAATAAAGATTACTTAGTGAACAAAAGGAGTTTGACACCCCTGCATTAGAATAACACATAAGGTCGTCTGAGACGCTAAGTCAGTCATCCAACATATTCAACAACAAAAATCAAACATGATATTTGAAAAAAAAATCTTTGCTTTAAATTCTCCTGTGGTCTTTCTCCTCATGGCCTGTCACATCATAAAAATCAATTTTCATACTATAGCACATAAAAAAATAAATTAAAAAAAATCAAATAAAGTTTGAATGTTCTCCCTGTGTTTGCATAGGTTCCCTCCAGGTGCTCCGGTTCCCCCTACACTAAAGACGTATACAATAGGACTGGCATACACCTCTTGTATGCCAAACCCACTCTCTGTGGCATGAAAGGAAAAATGGCCAGGAAAATTGTAAAACGCTTTCTGTCTCTCTTTCTCTATGAAAGGCGCAATATAAATGAAAATCACTTATTTACCATAATTTCAGAACTACACTTTTTAATAGTTACTTGAACTCTGCGGTTATTATGTGTATTTTTACTGTAGTTGTCAGAGCTGAGTTTATGGACTTATTATTATTTTGACTCCATAAAGTTTTAACAGCTATAGAATACATGTTATTGTCAAAAGAGATGAAGGTGAATAAGTCATGGAAGCTAGCGGTTAAAAACACTAAAAACAACAACAATAAATAATGTGTTCAGTTCCATATAGATATTTTTTAATATTTTTTTATGTAAAATAATTAAGTGGTGCGGCTCATAAACAGGTGTGCCTTATGGTCCAGAAAGTACGGTACTTAATTGTTTACTGTGGATGATTTTGGTTCCATGTGCTCATACAAGAGACACCAGAAAATAACGAGAGAGGCAAAAAGTAATTAGTCAGCCCACCAGTTGTGCATGTCTCCCACGTAAAAGATTAGATGGGGCCTGCAATTTTTGTTTTTGGTGTCCTTATGACAGCTCTTGGTGCGAGAAGGCCATAATGGAGTTTGGAGGTGACTGTTTGAGGTATTGGACAAGTGTCATCAATACAGGTAATAAGTGGAGGACAGAGGGGCCTCTTGAAGAAGCAGTTAGAGGTCTGTGGGAGCCAGAAATGTTGCTAGTTTGTAGGTATGACAATAACTTATTTCCCACCATAGATTTTGCCAAACAAATTCCTTATAAAATCAGGCGAAAATACTTGTTTTGCAACCCACTGAGATAAGGAAAAAGACACGTTCATTTAGTGTGTGTTTACTATTATAAATACCAACATCAGATCTACTACGTATTTTGTCTAAACTCTCAACACCACACTACTGAAAAAGACAATCCACCTAGGAATTCCCAGACTTTTCAACAGTCTAACTTAAACTTCCGTTCCCCCTGTGTGCTTCTACAGAGGCAAGATAGTCTAAGCTTGGCTCTCTGGGTCGACTCTCTCGCAGGGCTTCTGTGTGTTTTGATTCATTGCCAATAAGCAATACGTGATAGCAGAACCATTTGCACGTCTGGCTGTAAATTGGGCTGAACAGCATCCACTCACTATTCTCATCCACTTTAAGAAAACCTGCTTTCATTAGCTGTGTGCGCTGCAACAGATCATCCACTCAGACTGGGCTCAGGGGTGCTCACTATCAATCAGGCTAACTCGCTACGTTCCCCTATTTGGGGGGGGGGATAAACATTATAATAATATTATTGGGGGTGGGGGGGGGGGGGGTGGGGGGGGGGGGGGGGGTGGGTGGGGAGGTGGGCGAAAAAAGGGGGGAAATAAAATGAAGAACACCATGCTAGCGCGTGTCTTTCTGCGTTGCTTTAGAGCCGTCCTTCTTAAAGTGTATTAGTCAGAGAGTAGGAGTGTTTACCCTAGTCTGTAGTGACAGGGGCACAGCACCACCAATCACCCTCCCATCACCTCCAGTCCGTACCACACGCAGATTGTGGGGTGAGGCGAACCAGGCCCAGGGGGGGGGGGGGGGGGGGGGGGGGGGGGGGGGGGGGGGGGGGGGGGGGGGGGGGGGGGGGGGGGGGGGGGGGGGGGGGGGGGGGGGGGGGGGGGGGGGGGGGGGGGGGGGGGGGGGGGGGGGGGGGGGGGGGGGGGCGGGACACCCAGCAACTGCAAAGAGAGATAATATTAGCAATACATACAGTACATACATAACCGCCTCATCCAAAGGGCAATCAGGGGCTGAATGAGGGGAGGAAAAGTGTAAGAGGAAAAGGAAAAAATACACCCATGAACACACACACACACATATACATACAGACAACATACAGTAGAGCAACCCGCCCCCTCTCGGCTGCTGTATTCCTGGGGGTATACCTTGGTGGGAGCAGGGGGAGGTTCAAAACAGTAAAAAGGCGTACACACAAGCCGATATGAACATGGACGGTGGCAGTGGCTCTGCCCCCTGGCACTGAGGGCTGAGCAGATTTGAGTGCTTTGTCCTGCAGTGGAGGAGACACAGCTCGCAGCCAAGCCAGAATAGAGAAAGAGAGTTGGAATGGTTTGTGAATGGTTGTCTTTGTAAACAACATTGGTTTGGTTATTTGTGTAGAGCTATTAGTATAAGAGAGGCATTTGGATTAGAATAGGTACATCTATCAAACTTGCTAAAGCGGGAGGAACTGTTGTTCGATTAGTTTCATAAATGCATTGTGTCTTGGTCCCAAAAAGAGCTGCAACCCGTTCCAGTTTCATTGCAAATGATCGAGTTAGACTAAAGATAGGGATCATTTTCATTGTTTTTTAACCTACCTTAGACTTTAACATGGCTGAAGCTTAGAACTAAACATATGTATAGTATAGCTATATAATATATATGTTATAGAAGCTAGACTTAAACATAAGCAACTGGATTAAAAATTATCCTTATATTGAGCAACTGTATATATCGCAGCGCAACAAGGGGCAAGAAGGTTGCTAAAGGATAATGAAGGCATCTGACTGGTCCATGTGCCATAGGTTCCATAGTGGGCAGATGTCACACTAAATGGTCTCAGGGCTCTCCCTTGAGCCGAGCGGGTTAGCACTGTCCATCGGAAACACCCTTCTATGTAGAACACCACAAGTCATCTCGTATGAAGATGTCTGGCAAGGCATAACTGTGGTCAAAAAAATCATTAATTGAAAGAACTTATTGTCCAATTAGACCATTCTCAACCACATCAACCAAGGTTTTATTGACATTTTGTGAAAAATCAGACAACAGAACGATCTCTTATTCTTGATCAAAAAACCGCCTGTCCAGTGCTGCACTATCCAGATTTTACATTCAAACAAAAGAAGCAGCATCTGCATGGCACCTTTAACACAACATTATTCACTGAAGCACTTTAGTCTTTTACTCCAAGAACTATCACTGGCTATAGATCCTAATCATTCACAAAGACATCTTGATATTTGGAAACTACGCAGTTTAATATATAGAGCGTTCTGGCTCGACTTTCCTCCATCGAACCAAGATATGGTTGCTGACAGCTTTTATAAACGCTGTCACTTTCCATTTGGATCTCCGGGCCTCACCGGTCCAACACATGGGGCCATCTCCAGTCTGTGCCGGTCAAAAGAACAAGCTGTACCACTCCTCTGAGAGCGAGGCTGCAGAGGCGAGACAAGATAAAAAACCGGGACGCGCTAAAGCAAGTATTGATTTTTATATACTAAACTAAATTGAAGAGCGCAAACATTAAGATGGCCTGCTGGGAGCGACTAGGGAAGACGCTGTAAACCTGTATTGTAAATAGCATAATCCTTTACACTGCTATATAACATATGAGGTCATAAATGCTTTAATCAGGTGTTTTTTTATCTGAATATGAGAACATTCTGACAAACAAGATTTGCCAATGGGACAAAGTTATTTAGTCTTATTTCAAGAACTCTTCTTTTCTCTTTCCAAGAGAGACATGTCCTGTTTCTTTTTAAACACGATCATTTTTACAGTCAAAATGTGCTCAATCAAAGAAAGATTTTGCCAATTTTGAGACTAACATTTAATCGCTTTTTGCAGTACATAAAATCGAAGATGGCCTGCTGGGAGCGATGAGGGAAGACGCTATTAACACGGGCAAAAAATGAAAAATTATGAAGTGATAAATGCTTTATTTGAGATGTTTTTATCTTAATTTGAGTACATTCTGATTCTGATTTGAGTTGAGATATTTATTATATTTTTTTAAAACAAGATGATTTTGCTTGTCCCATTGGCCGAATGTGCTCAAATTAAGATACATTGTGGCAGTTTTTTACTTTTTTTTTCATGACTTGAGTAAACTACATTAAATTGTGCAATGGGCTGCTGGGAGCAACTTTGGCTGACGCTATAAAACAGTATTGTAAATAGCATGCTACTTAACAGCCTCTGCCTCCGAAACAGAATGGATGCTCATTGTGTATGTATGATTTTCTTTACAACCTGTTGTCTGTCAGAGCCCTGAGGCAATAGTAAGAAACAGTGAAGTCCTCCTGCTACTAGCCCAGATGTCCACGCCGCGGCCGCAGGAGCAAATCACTCGTCCAGTCAGGATTCATGAGGTCCATGAATCCAGAGAGGTGCTTTATTAGGCCCCTTGTTGTTCCAATGCTCTATTTTGTTTGGTTCTGTCGGTAGTTTTTTTCGCACAGCGCAGCTTGAAAAGCATGAAGTCCAGGCGTGAAAACTTGTTCTTTTTGACTAGTTTTTAAACTTCAGATCTGGATCACACATTGAGGGCTGTCAAAACTAGGAGATCCTTTGGTAAATTTCAATGTTGCATCACCAATTATTACACAACAGTAGGAATGAGGAGCACACAGCAAAATATAAGTGAACTTTACTTCTATACTAAAATTAAATCCAATCTATAAATTTAGGATAATAAATAAGCAAGTATAAAATCTCTAGGTTTAGCGTAATGAAGAAGGAAAATTTAAGTGTAGATCGCTGACTTTATCACAATAAAGAAGCCAGTGCAAATATTGTATATTTTAGTGCAAGAATTATATACTTGCTTGTATACATCTGTACAGGGTCTGGGACAAAGTAAAGTAACAGTGGACACATATGGATCTATATTGTATTATTCATTCACAATGTATAATAGTAGTATATGTGTGATGCTGAATGAGTGACTTAATTCAACATGGAGAGGCATTTTCATTTTTTGTTTCAATTTCAGCAAAAGAAGCCAATTAAATCTAGCTCTTCCAATCCGCCAGCTCTGATAGCCCTGACCAAGCGGAGCATGGCCATCTGGAGTTGGGCCCTCGGGTGCAGCACTGCGGGAGACCACTGCTCCTGACAGAGGCCCTCGTGTCATAGTGGTACAACGACATCACATTATAACAGGACTGAGACGGGAGCTTTGAGACAGAAGGGGCAGAGTTGCATGTTTGTGACTGAAGTTGCTGATATAAGCGTGGATAAATCTTAAAATCAACTCCAGGTTTGTGACTGATAAAGAACAGGGTTGTAACACTAATAAAAAGTCAGTTTTTATGTATCTTCGAATTGGTTTTATTGCGTTCTGCTTGTCTTCTTAGTAGAATAAGAATATTTGTTTTCTCTATACCAAACAATTGTAAGAAATCATGTTAATGTTGCTATATTATCTTGCACTAGAATATACAACTTTTTTGTAATGCTAAAGTCAGAGATTGTACTTTATTCTAGTACATCATTTATCTTGTGTTGTGTACTCATTCCTGCTGTTGTGTAACCGGTGATGCAACGCTGACATTTCCCTACTGTGGGACGAGTGCAGAATCTCTTAATCTTAATCTATTATACAATTGTCTGGTATTGTAGAACCAAATATTTTTATCACAAGTACAATAATTCTTTGTGTATTCCAGCCAGTATTGCATTTGTACCTGTCCCTCCAGATCAAAGGCCAGGCAGGCGATCCCATGCGAGTGCACGTCTTTCAGGATGGACACGATCTGGACGGTGTAGGAGTCCCACACGCATATGTACGGCTCTTTCCCCACCTGCCCTGTGGCCACCAGGACGCGCTCCGGGTGCAGTGCCAAGCTGCAGAGACAGAAGAAAACATGTGATCAGCATTTGAACCAACCTCTCTGCACACCGCTGGGTGTGCACATTTGGCCGTGTTATGGTGGTTACAACTGGAAAAGGGACAGCTTGAAAAGTAAGCATGGTTCAATTAACTCGATTAACTGGATCTACAGCCTGAGTCCTGGATCTACTGCCTCATTCCTGGATCCACAGTCTCGGTCCTGGATCTATAGCCTGAGTTTCGGAGCTACAGCCTCAGTCGTGTGATTAGTATTTGACCCAAGCTCTCTGCACACCGCTGGGGTCGACACATTGTTCGTGTTGTGGTGGTTGCAACTGGAAAAGGGACAGCTTGATGAGTAAGCATGGTTCAATTAACTCAGTCATGCTCAGTGGCTTTATCTCTGCCTCAGGGAGAGCACAGACTATGGAAAAAGCTGGAGAGGCAATCTGAGAGACCTTTTCTCCTCTTTTTTTGGTTCTTTTTTTAGTATCCTGAGGGTGGTGGCGTTTGGAGATAAGATTTTCTCCATTGTGGGTCCTTTGTTTGAGGCGCTCTTGTCTTTGCGTGCCATTGTTTTCATTCTGCAACAGAAATGTTGTTTTCCAGAACCTTAGAAGACCCATCTCAGAGCAAGGCAAGCAATGAAGCAACGGTTTCATAGTTACAGAGAAAAATATGTATGTTCAGTCCAATTCAATTCAAAACATGATTTTGAATATACCTAAATAACAACAGCAGTCGTCTCAGAGGACTTTACAAGGTTGTTGATTCACCAACAACAAATCAGAGAATCTAACAGTTCAAACACAGTAAATACAATAATAACAAACACATAGAGCCCTTGGTCCATGGGGAGCGGGAAGACCAATGTCCATAAAAGTTGTATGGGTGTTATATCTGCATTTCTTTTGTTGACTAAGGATACGTGTGTACTGTCCCTTTAAGAGCGTCTCCCAGCACACGTGCAAGTGTTTTCACCGGTGTGACTTCCATATTTGCAGAATCCTTTGCATTAATGTGCAGCCTGGGACAGTTTTGGTGCTTATTTCTGAACATTTGGACAACTTTATTGACAATTATGCAGTTTTTTTTCCTTGTCTTGGACATACAGCAAAGGAGGATTACCTAGAAGATGTTGTATCATGTTTGAAGTATTTGCAACAACACCTAGCTCATCTCTTGGATTCCCAAAGTGATCCCACACTGCTGACTTACCGGTGAGTCTGCACTGCTCCGTGTGCAGCGGCCCGTACTGCACCTCACGGGAGAGTTGTCCGTAATAGTGGTAAATTGTGGAAAATCCGACCTTTGTGAAAGTTTCTCTGTCAGCTGAGGTCGAGCTGTGTTAGTTTACATTTAGTTCTAAGGGGAATTTTTTTTTCTTTTGGAGCCAAATAGAATTTATTCTGTGGTTTTGTCTGCAGTACAGCGAGAATCCCCCGAGCACATGGGTCCTTCTGCTTCAAGCTCGTACTACTCTATCCAGATATTATCCATGGGCCAAACATACAGTACATGCATGTCAAAACTAGTGATAGAACCAAACTGTTTTGAGCAATAAGGACCCATTAGATGCAATTAGTTACATAGTTCATTTCTATATTGTTTAATTTTGTATGATAATAAGGTTTATTTTGGTACTCAGTATTATTTTTTACATTAGTTCACTCTTTGTTTTGTTTTAGTTTTACTTCCTGTCCTGTTCCCCTGTTTGTTTGATTGTCCCACTCTAATGTGTTCCATTTGGATAACCATTGTTATTCACCGGTGTAATAATATCTTTTGTCCGCCGAAAGAATTTGATTTTTGACCCTGAAGACATTCACGAATGTTTGCACATGAAGCTAGAAATGAATTCACCAATACAACGTATGACCCTGCACACAACAATATGCAAAACACAACTGTGACCGCGTGCGGCTTTGATTTAATTAGTTTTTACACTGGACTTTTATTAATTCAATCATTAAATCATATTATTTTTACATTCCTGCGTTTTGGGTCCACCATTTGACCATGTGACAGGTAACCCACCTTTAACAATCTACCTCATTATCACCTTCTTCAATCCATCTGGGATTTGTGAACATCTCTGACATATGTCAGAGATGTTCACACACACTCACATAAACAACACACACATACACACACCACACATACATACACACACCACACACACAGACCTGGCTCATCTCGCCCCCTCCTCAGCCCTCTCCCACTACAGAAGCGGTCAGAAGCCCCTCCTCTCAGCTGCTACCAGTCACGTTCCGAGTAGAAAACACTTATTCACTGGTTCGTTTCTGCTATCTTTCTTTGTCAAGGCCTACACATCTACATATACATATACATTTAGATTAAGAGATCCGTTATTCGTCCCACAGTGGGGACAATTCAGTTTTGGATCACCAGTTACAGGACAGTAGGAATGAGGAGCACAGCACAAGGTAAAAGAAAACAGCACAGGATAAGATACATAAACACAGCTCTATACTAAACTCTATACTAAATCACTCTATAATAAACTCTCTAATAAATAAAATATCTAGCCTACAATACAATACAATAAAACCTACATATACACTGTACAAACACAGAACCACAACTGGACAGAGCTGTCTAACTTGAGATAAGTATCTGTTTGGCTCGTGGTGCTATGAAGACATTCTCTTTCTCTTGGGCAGTTTGGCGGCAACAAAATAATACCAAAAGCAAAAGCATATACCCTTCTATAAGCTGCTACTTTTTTCTATTTCTTTGAACCCTGTGGCTTATATAGCAACTCAGCTAATGTATGTATTTTTATTGAAGTAAAATAAAGCAGAATTTATGGACTTGTTATTTTGAGTGTATCAAGCTTTATTAGCTATAGGACACTTGTTTATTGCCAAAATAGAACAGTCGACTGCTACATGACAACATTAAAACTTGTAGCTTATATTTAAAGCCAGTTCACTCATTATCATTGACAAGAAATAACTTCACACACCACTTGCAATGAGTTTTTTTTCTGCCTGGATGTTTGAATGTTTAAGCTAAACTGTATATACCTGCATTCTATATTACAAAACACAATACTGAACAGGCGGAAGGAGGTGCAGGAAAATTTGCACTTTCGTTTTGAATGCGATCCTTCTGGGTAGAGATTACTGCATTAACCTTTTAAGACTTCACACAATCCAGGTTTATAATCTGCAACCTTCTAGTCATCCGTGGAGAGAGCAAATCAGATCACAGATAACTTTCGCCTTCAGCGACAGTCCTGTATCTACAGCCTCGTTCCTGGATCTACAGCCTCAGTCCTGGATCTACAGCCTCAGTCCTGGATCTACAGCCTCAGTCCTGGATCTACAGCCTCAGTCCTGGATCTACAGCCTCAGTCCTGGATCTACAGCCTCAGTCCTGGATCTACAGCCTCAGTCCTGGATCTACAGCCTCAGTTCTGGACCTACAGCCTCAGTCCTGGATCTACACAGCCTCAGTCCTGGACCTTACAGCCTCTCTGTCCGTGAGAACGGATGCCTCTCTCAATATGGGCCTCCCTGAGGTTTCTCAAATTTTTAGATACTTGATCTTCCTTTCATCGTTCGTTGCAGATGAAGGAAGGTCTAAGGACAGTGATGATCCAAGACATTGGTCATCCCTCTACCTATGAACAAATGGCCCATTTGTTATTATTGCATTCCCTGTGTTTGAACTGTTGATTCTCTGAGCTGTTACTTGGATTGAAGCGAAGAACATAATCAAATCGCTTCATAACTTTAAGCAACTTCAATAATACAGTGCCTTGCGAAAGTATTCGGCCCCCTTGAAACTTTAAACATTTCGCCACATTTCAGGCTTCAAACATAAAGATATAAAAATTTAATTTTTTGCCATGAATCAACAACAAGTGGGCCACAATCGTGAAGTGAAACGAAATTTATTGGATAATTTAAATATTTTTTAAAAATAAAAAACTGAAAAGTGGGGCGTGCAATATTATTCGGCCCCTTTACTTTCAGTGCAGCAAACTCACTCCAGAAGTTCAGTGAGGATCTTTGAATGATCCAATGTTGTCCTAAATGACTGACGATGATAAATAGAATGCACCAGTGTGTAATCAAGTCTCCGTATAAATGCACCTGCTCTTTGATAGTCTCAGGGTTCTGTTTAAAGCGCAGAGAGAACCATGAAGACAAAGGAACACATCAGGCAGGTCCGAGATACTGCTGTGGAGAAGTTTAAAGCCGGATTTGGATACAAAAAGCTTTCCCAAGCTTTAAACATCTCAAGGAGTACTGTGCAAGCAATTATATTGAAATGGAAGGAGTATCAGACCACTGCAAATCTACCAAGACCTGGCCGTCCCTCCAAACTTTCATCTCAAACAAGGAGAAGACTGATCAGAGATGCAGCCAAGAGGCCCATGATCACTCTGGATGAACTGCAGATAACTACAGCTGAGGTGGGAGAGTCTGTCCATAGGACAACAATCAGTCGTGCACTGCACAAATCTGGCCTTTATGGAAGAGTGGCAAGAAGAAAGCCATTTCTCAAAGATATCCATATAAAGTCTCGTTTAAAGTTTGCCACAAGCCACCTGGGAGACACACCAAACATGTGGAAGAAGGTGCTCTGGTCAGATGAAACCAAAATCAAACTTTTTGGCCACAATGCAAAACCATATGTTTGGCGTAAAAGCAACACAGCTCATCACCCTGAACACACCATCCCCACTGTCAAACATGGTGGTGGCAGCATCATGGTTTGGGCCTGCTTTTCTTCAGCAGGGACAGGGAAGATGGCTAAAATTGATGGGAAGATGGATGGAGCCAAATACAGGACCATTCTGGAAGAAAACCTGTTGGAGTCTGCAAAAGACCTGAGGCTGGGACGGAGATTTATCTTCCAACAGGACAATGATCCAAAACATAAAGCCAAATCTACAATGGAATGGTTCACAAATAGACGTATCCAGGTGTTAGAATGGCCAAGTCAAAGTCCAGACCTGAATCCAATCGAGAATCTGTGG